TTATGTAGGTTATGTATACGGTGATTCCACGTGCGGCCAGAGAGCTTTGTATGACATCGGAATGACAGGAATTCCCATATGCAATGTGAATAACAATTGTTCAACTGGTTCTACAGCATTATTTTTAGCAAAGCAGATGATAGAAGGAGGATTAAATAATTGTGTCCTAGCAGTCGGTTTTGAAAAAATGGCAAGAGGTGCATTACAGGCACAATATTCTGATCGTGCTAATCCATTAGAGAATCATTTACAAATACTTACTGACATGCATGAACTAACAGCTTCTCCCATAACTGCACAAATGTTTGGAGCAGCTGGTAGAGAGCACATGGAAAAATATGGAACTAAACCTGAACACTTTGCAAGAATTGCTTTAAAAAATCATACTCATGCACAAAATAATCCTTATGCCCAAGCAAAGAAAGAACTAAAACTAGAAGATATTTTGAATTCTCCTCCCCTTTATGAACCTCTGACAAGATTACAATGTTGTCCAGTATCAAATGGTTCTGCTGCTGCTGTATTAGTCTCTGAAGATTTTGTTCTCAAACACAATTTGCAAAAGCAAGCTGTAGAGATTTTAGGCATGGAAATGAGTACTGATCTACCCAGTACTTTTAAGGAAAAGAGTTGTATAAAGATGATTGGATTTGATATGACAAAAAATGCAATTGACACATTATATAAAAAGACAGGAATATCACCAAAAGATGTAAATGTTGTTGAGCTTCACGATTGCTTTTCAACTAATGAATTAATTACTTATGAAGCTCTAGGATTGTGTGATATAGGAAAAGGAGCTGAAATGGTAGAACTGGGCAACAATACATATGGTGGAAAATATGTAGTAAATCCTAGTGGAGGACTTATTGCTAAAGGACATCCATTAGGTGCCACTGGTGTGGCACAATGTGCCGAACTTTGCTGGCAGTTAAGAAACAAAGCTGGAAAAAGGCAAGTACCAAATGCTAAGATAGCTCTTCAGCATAACATTGGATTAGGAGGAGCAGTAGTAGTTGCTCTGTATCGACTTGGTTTTCAAGATAACATTCCTACTATTCCCGAAAGTAAACTCAATGTTACTCCTCAGGAACCAGAATTTAAATCTGATGTATATTTTGAAGGCATCAAACAAGCTACACTAGAAGGAGAACCATTATTTGAAAAAGTAAATGGTACCATAGCTTTTAGAATAACGGGAAAAAATAAAAAAGTTAAAAGGTGGGCAATTACATTCAAAAATGGGAAAATGGATGTTAGCAACGATCTGAACGTAAAAGCCGATTCAGAATTAAGGTTAACCGATGATTTACTGATGGATTTATTTTCGGGAAAAAGAAGTTTCCAGTCTGCTTTTCTGAGCAGACAATTTCAGATAAAAGGCAGTTTAAGTCTATTAATGAAGCTTTTACCTCTAGCTAATTTAATGTCAAAATTATAGATTTAATATAGATGATCATTTCTCTAACCAATTTGTTGCCTTTCTTTCTTTCTTCCCCTCTAGTCATATGCTTTGAAATATAACATTCAAAATTTTGGCTTATTTTAAGTTTATAATTTTGTGACCATATTTAACAGAATAGCAACATTAGCCTACTTTTAAGGATAATTTTTAAAATCAAATTTCGTATATACTATAATGTTATATACATGTTACACTTTATCTTATCATTTTAAAAAGAAATGAGATCATTTACAATTTATAAATATATGATCTAGTCATTAAAATTTATAAACAATTATCATTATCTTAAATTCTTTAATGATTTACTATTATTTCTTTCGAAATTTTGGAGTATAATTATTAAATAATTATTAATAACAAAATATTTACTTTAGAATATATTAAGGATAAAAATAGGAAATTAAAATTTCTTTTTTAATATTTTAGACAGAAATTTACTCAAGAGTTCAATCACATTTTCCTGTTAGGTATTTCTTTCATTTAATTTTCTTAGTATAATATATATTAACAATCTTAGTTCTATATATTCTTTGATACTTAAAGAATTTGTTAAATTTTTATTCATTTTTATAATTTTCAATATTTTATTCTTTATATGAATACCCTATATATATTGTTTTATTCATTATAGTTATCGCTTTATCATTTTCCAAAGTTAAATTACATTTAAATGATAAAAATTGATAACCGCATTTACTTGAGTGAGCTTTAAATTAATTTTAAATATGAATGAATTAAAGCAATGACTAAAACTTTATTCTTTAATTAATTTTAATTAGTTTTTTGCATAAGAAACATGTTAAATTAGTTAATGCAGACTTTCATTTAAAGTAAACTGTCAAAAATCGGAAATGCAAATTACTCTGAAGATATTGTATATTTGATTCGCAGCATAGCTAATGACACTGCACCTTTTGTTAGTACTTCTTTGTACGGAAAATAAAATTACGAATGCAATTAAACTGGAACCCAAACCTTCTCCACGGAAATACGGCACATAATACTGATTGCCCATGTATGGCTAGCTACATCAGCATTATTTCTCGGTTATATTATAAGAAAAAAAAATGTCTACGTACTGTACATAATAAATACACACAAAATATATTTAATCTGACGATTAATGTAAAGAAATAAGTTCTGTTTTGTATTTTCTGTAAAGATAAACTTGTATGTTATAAATAAATAAAAATTTTGAAATATCATATTCCCTCCTTAATTTGCAATATCTAAGTATTGAAATTAAGCCATAATTTGGATTCGGATATTAAGTATAAATAGCATTAATGGTTCGTTAAACTTTTTCTTTTTTTTTTTTCCTCAATTACAATGGAGTTATATTTTAAAAGATTAATCAGTGTCTATTCAGAATGCACACAAATCAAAGTAACACCTTAACATCTCAACAATCCCTTACAGATATTAAGAAATATCAAGAGTCAATATATTTCACATATATTTTTCATGTCACATTTTATATAAATCATTCTAAATTATTACATTAAACAGTCATTAAAATGTCATTTGCAACAAATATTATGGAAAAGAAATGATTTATTTTAAGTAATTTTGGAAATATTTCATTAACATGTTGGTAAATTACTGTTCGCAATTTTTCCTGTTAAATTTTCCTCATTTACTTGCAATTTATTATTAAGATTTTAATATATCTACATTGTTTTTTTTATATGGAATTTCAAAAGTTTTGTAATAAATTTATCTCTTTAATCCATTTGTTTTTTTTATAATGTGATTTAAGTAATCTATTGAAGATATTTCTTCAAGCTCTATTAAGAGAATTTCATAAGAGCCTTCCTTATGAAAGAGCAATGTTCGGAAGGTCATTGAAATGCACTAAACACAAACTCGTCTGATTAAAATGGGTCATAATAAAGAAACTTGTCCTATTTTGAAAGGGAAAACAGTTTAAAAAGTATAATTATAGTCCTAAATTTAAAACATGAATAGGAAAAGTTCAGAGTTTTGATGAAAAGCAGCACTGATATTGAAAGTTAACTGTACAGTTTATATATAGTTACCTAAGAGTTAAACTTTTCCCCATTTTAAAAAATTGCTTTTACCTCCTTTTTTATGTTTGCTTGCACTTCAATTTTCTTTATTTTTATTCATCACAAAATGGTGAATGAACATAAACAATTTTCTGAAAATTGAAGAATTCTGTAAAAACTGGTTTTTAATCAAGTATACATCTGTAAAACATTGAAGTACTTCATATTTTTGTTTATAATGAATGACCTTTTGACATATTTAAATGCGACTTTACATTTTGTTCATATCTTTATTTAAAATATATATATATATATACAACGTGATAGACAGACACACAGCTAATTAAAACACCATTGCGTGTCTTAAGACAAGTTATTACTAAACGTTTTATCTAACTTGTTTTGTAATGTCCTCAGCTCTAATTTCATTCACTTCTAATTAAGAATGGTGTCCTCGAAGATTCGGCCTTCTAAGCCCGATTCCATTGCATTTTAATGTTTTAGGGGGTGGCCCACCTTTACTAGCTTCAAAAAAAAAAAAAAAATGAGCCGTTACAGGCCAAATCTAATTATCTCTCTTAGTATCCTTGGAATAATCGTTATTTTTACATGTGTTTAAAAGTTTCAATGAAATTAAATTTTATCTGTAAATTTAATTTCATTGAAGTGACCCAATTATTTAATTAAAAAATTTATCATGGTATGCATAATAATTTCATGTTTAGATTGGCCGTCAGTCTATGAGATTGTCTTACAGGTGCCCTTTTTAGAAGTACTGACGTCATTGATGAGTTCTTTTACGAAAACCATTCATTGAGCTCTACATGTATCGGAGGTGATGAGATTGGGGATATATATATAAGATATTTAGACGCATTTTTTGGGTTCATTGTTAACTTTTTACGCACTTCACTTGAGACAGGCACATTTGAACACGTGCATTATTAATACTGGCAACGATAATAGGCATTACCAGTTGCATGGTGTTAATGGATGATCCAGGAAATTTAAGATTTGTGTGGAAAAACCCATAAACACGATGCTGAGAAGACTGAATTTAAGATTTTAGCCCGTCTATGGTAAGAAACGGTGATGGAGAAAGTGATCAAGTTTTCAACACGCAAATCTCCTGTTGCTTATCATGCATCAGAGTCGATTTTTCACGCAAATTCTACTTATTAAATTGAAATAAAAACTTATCAATCAAAATCTTCATACACGAGTTCAAATATTTTATGAATTTCCAGTTTTTTAGTAACATAATGGAATTTACTCTTTATCTGCATGGAATCTTTGGAGAGAATATTTTCGATTTGCTCCAAGGACGAATCCAGATTTAGTGCTGAAACTATAAAAACAGTTAACTGTAAAGAGAAACTGTAATATCGAAAAAAAATATGTTTTACGATAAGATCTTATAAGACCAAAATTTATGCAAAGCATGTTCTTGGTACGTACATGTACAGTACTATCACGTACTGTACGTATCAAGGTAGGCATCTTTATCTCGATCTAAAATTTATATATTTTTTTAAAAAAGTTGTATTTGTATTCGAGATTTCTATTTATTAAAATAATCTGTTAATTTTCTTTTTGGATTCTTTTTAAACAACATTCACCTCCCCAATTCAATTTTGGCCTTAAAATCATGCTTATCAAACTAAAAATTAAACTAAATTATTAATTTTGTTAAATTTTTGAATCTAATTGAATATGGATAAAAATTAATAATTATTTTCCGCAATATTCTCTATCTAGTTTCTAGTATGCACGAATAGGAAATACAAGAACTGCAATCGTTTTTCATCTTTGCACGCTTGAGTGAAGCTTGTATATAATAGCGTGACTAAAAAAAAAACAAAAACAATAGACTGAAAAAAATTTCTTTTCTCCAACTAGGTGGAGCATTTTATAGCCTTATCTCTCCATAATAACGTATTTATAAAATTATAGTAATAACTTGTATATATAGAGGAAAAAATATAGTTTTCCTCTCTGCCCTGTGGACATCTTTCAGGCCCATCGTGGGTTCGGCCAGGCTAACTGGCCTGACTGAAACAATGGAAGATATGTTGATGAGCGACGGAGCACGAAATATTCGGGACAACCACCCCCAAAACTTCCTGGTATTTTTTTCCACCGTCAGGTTTCAATCCCGGGTCCTCCAGAACAGTAAGTTGAGGTCTTAACCGCGTTGACTATCCGCCTGTCATCTTATATATTAATGATAAATAATTAATGATCATATCACTCGTTAGTTTAGTGTGGAAAAGAAAATTACGAATATACTTTGAGTGGTAATTTAACCCGAACCAGGACTTTCTTCATAGAAATACGGCACATATTTGTACTGCCCACCATTTCCCGAGTGGATAAAACCATGAATACTTGATGGTCGCTGGTTCTAACACCTAAATCAGTTTCCCATAGAAAGTTCTCCCGAAAGGCACCTCCATGGCAGATCGCCCTTGCCTTTCCCATCATTCCAAACTTAATGCTGGCACTCTCGTGCCACTTTATTTGAATGTGAGTAGAATATATATACAAAACTCATCTATAAATACAAAAGTTTAATTTTTTTAAATATTATATTTCATATAAAAATATATAGGCCTACTTCACATTATAGAAATATTTATTTATTGAATGAAATGGGACATTCAATGAACGTCTCCTGTATTTAAACTACAAAACTAATTCTATGTTTAGATTGTTTTGAATTATGTGCTATATATCACTTGAAATCTCATTCATGACGCATGCTTGTGTAAACTTTACGCTTAACATTTCACGATAGTAAGTTTATGTAATGATAAATAGACCATAATATTCACTCGTGAGTAATTTGAAAGTGAATACGTTCACGTTTTTAGAAAGTTTCTTCACGCATTAAAGCGTAAACTGGTAAACAATTACGAAAATTCACCTAATTTATATAATGCCACAACCGTTGCTCCACCTAATCCGATATTATGTTGCAAAGCTAGTTTGGCATTAGGTACTTGTCTATCCCCTGCTTTATTTCTTAGGTGTAAACAGAGTTCGGTACATTGAGCCAAACCTGTAGCGCCTAAAGGATGCCCCTTTGCAATTAACCCACCGCTAGGATTCACTACATATTTTCCTCCGTAAGTATTATCACCAGATTCTACCATTGTAGAACCCTTTCCGACGTCACATAATCCAAGTGCTTCGTACGTGATTAATTCGTTAGTCGAAAAGCAATCGTGCAATTCGACTACGTCGACATCCTTTGGAGAAATACCCGTTTTGCGGTATAATTTTTCCGCAGCTTTTTTTGTCATGTCGAATCCCACCATTTTGATACAGCTGTTTTCTTCGAATGTACTCGGAAAATCGGTTCCCATTTCCATACCTAAAATTTCCACGGCTTGTTTTTCTAATCTGTGCTCCCGAACGAATTCTTCTGATGCCAATATTGTTCCTGCTGCTCCATCCGAAACCGGGCAGCACTGAAGCCTAGTTAATGGTTCATAGATGACTGGTGAGTTTAAGATCTCCTCTAAACTATATTCTTGTTGCATTTGGGCATTTTTATTCTTTACCGAATGCTTATGATTCTTCCACGCTATCATTGCGAAATGCTCTTTTTTGGTTCCGAACTTTTCCATATGTTCTCTACCAGCGGCACCGAACATTTGTGCCGCCATTGGTACTTCACTAATGCCATATTTTTCACTCAAAACTAGGCAATGTTTACCTACTGGCATTGCTCTATCTGTAAAAAGAGGGCTTCTTAACGATTCTCTGTGCATTTTCTCGAATCCTATAGCAAGTACACAATCATTCAAACCACCAGCAATTGTACTATAAGCTAAAAATAGGGCCGTGGCACCGGTGGAGCAATTATTATTAACATTACATATAGGTATGCCAGTCATCCCAATATCGTAAAGAGCTCTTTGTCCACTGGTAGATTGCCCAAACACATAGCCTACAAAAGCTTGTTGTATTTGATCATATTTCAGGTTAGCATCGGAAAGAGTACCGACCATGGCATCTTTAACCATTTCTGGATAATCTGAAGTCTCTTCGGGCTTTATAAAAGGTGTCATAGATGCCCCAACAATATAAACTTTGCCACCCTTCCTTTCTTTTGCGAATTCTTTGGCCTAAAAATAAATGCAGAATTGATCATATGATACATCCAATACAACAGAATGAAAGTATAGAGGTAAATTTCTAACAAGAGACGAGGAAAATGTAATGGGAAAAAGTTAAAAATTTTAACTTCCTTAACTATAAATGGAACTTGTTTTTTTTACATATAAAGATTATGATAGTAGTATAATAAGGAGACATAAGAAATGTTTACTTACATTGCATAACTGGTACGACGTAGCAAAATTTCGTTGCCATTTCTGCCTAATAAGTGCATTTGCAAGCTTAAGACCCTTTAAAAACATGTCGAAGTAACGAAATGAAATTTGAATTAGACTTTCCTTCTTTTATTAGAAGGCTAATACATAAATCAAATTCCTAACTTTCCTCTTAATACGTTTATATTTTCCTTCTATTTTTCTTATCAGTTAACAACAAATAAAGTAATTTGATACATCAAAATGAAAATTATCATAAGTTCAGTTACAGAGTTCAGAGTTCAAAGGTCACATTTCTCAATCCTGTAAATAACAGATTGGTTATATGTTCGATAACACGAATTAATGCTACGTAATGTTTGATTTGAAACGACTTTTTTTTTTTTAACTAAAATCTAAGATTTCGTAACATTTTGACATGATTTTTCATTAAAATATCGAAGTAATTCGTGTCGCAAAGTTGCATTCACCTCTTTACGTAACTATTTTAGTTTTGTAATAATTTTAAGATTATTTAAATGATGTAAGAGCAAAATTAAAATGTTATTATTATTATTACAACAAAAATCTATGAAATATTTCTCACGATTATGTAAATAAATTAACTACAAACACACAAAATTAGTGTTGTGAACTTTTGACACATGGATGACACGTTTTCTCTACTAACTCCTCCTGTCGTCGAGAAATGGAAACAAATTAAATAATAATTTTGTAATATCGTCTTCGATTACTAATATATACTCATTAAAATACTTAAAATTTTTAAATATTTCTCAACCGGATATGAAAAAATTTAATTAAATGTGTAAAATATTTTTAAAGATAATGCTGATGTTATACATTTTAAAAAATATTGTTGAACAATACTATGTTGTCGCCATCTAGTGGTGGATAATATAACTGTTTTGAATTTTTAAGCAATGTCATATGAGCGAGTGTCTTTAATAATTAATTAACGTTATGATTTCTTCACGTGTCTAACACCTGAATTACGGAATGTTTCTCATAGAAAGTCCTCTGGCATGCACCGTCTTCTTTGCAGATCGCCCATTACTTATCAGTTCGAATCTGAATTCTCTAATAATGTTTTTACGTATAAAACAATACTCATAAAAGAGCGTAAAGGTTGATGTTATTTTGAATGTGTTTTTATTCTAGCATCCATAAGTTTAGTCACAGCTGCATTCGCATGTGTGAGAGCCGAATTTATTAGAATAAATTGTTAAATATTTTTTTTGTACGAGGAACAGTTTAGAGAAAAAAAAAATAACAAACCGATATTTAAAAAGAACATAAAACCTTTTTCCCACGAACTTAATTCAGTGTTGAGGATGATACATCCAATATGTCACCCGGAATCTACGAAAAGACGAAAGAAAACAACTATAGGACAGAGGCAGTGGAAAAAAACCCAACGATACCCCCTTTTTAAAAAGGAGGGGTCGATGCGTAAGAGTAAGTCTCCGAAGTTTGGTGTGAACTGTGGATTACGTGAATGGATTAGCCGCTACCAGGAACTATTCTAATCACCGCCTAAAGAAATATCAACGTTCGAAAGAACTTTGTGCCGCATAGAGACTCGATGACTAAACGACTATTTGCTAACTTATATCAAGGTATTTATCCTCGCGCGAAATACATGTGAGCTTTCTCTCATTAATACTGGTAATCGGGAGGAAAGTAGATATGTTAACTGAATCGATTGTATATAGCTTAAAGAGAACAATAAACGGGCATTATGTATAGATTATGTAGAGTGTAATTCCTCTGATTCTCTCTTTACGTCTCCATCCCGGAACTAAAAGTCCACATACTCGACTGCTGGCGCGTAAATTCGAACGTAACGGTCTCTGTGTCTACCCAGAAGACACAGCGGTGTCAGTCCTGATAAATTTGTCATTGCCGTCTTCGCCGACGAAATGTCGACCTTTCGGTCCTGTGGTGCCGAAACATAGAGGGGGCCCTTCGGCATTGTCACACATGGTTTATTTTTCAAAATTAATTTTGAAACATAATATACAAAGTTTTAATGGTATAGCATGAAAATGGTATTATGCTGGGCTGCAATTTTTAAATTGCACTTCAATTATGGGACAGGAAAACACCTTTTATTGTTCTCGAAACGGAATGAATTAAACAAAAACACAACAGGGATGTAAATTCAAATAACTTTTATCGCTAAAAGTAATTTGCATGAGGAAAAGTCACCGGTAATAACATCAAATATTTCTTAACTACCAATAACTCACGAGAAACATTTAATTATATTTGCATGTTTGAAGTATCTACATACAATTAACCGAACAAACAACTCATTAGAAATTTAATATTTTTAATTAGCACTTACCAATGGGTGTCTTTATACACAGACCAATAAAGATCACAGAAGACAGTTTTATTCAATCATTACATTACATGTACGTGTGGGAGAAAATTCAATCAGAAATATTTATTTTCGAATCTGCAATGTACACGCTTCAAGAAATTTTATTCCCTTTCATAAAAATTTTAAAAATTTCAGAAAAATATCTCGATAGAGCTAAAACTAAAACATGGTTAGGGACTATTACGATATTCGTGCAAACATATTTCGTGTTATTGGTGTTTATGACATTATCGGAAGAGCTTTCGACCTATTTTCGCATCAATTGGATTCCCTCTCTTTGTGGGATGCCAGAAATGTGGAGGTTGGCGGGGTATAACATTAAGCATCTGATCAATTTTATGTTCATACTTTCTGTTCTGAACGTGACATCATTGAAGAAATACTCCTCAAAATTACACCACGCGATTGAAAATTTTGATGAAAACATAATTTTAACGAAGGAAACATCGAAGCGTATACTACTCTTTCGAAAATTTCTATTCTTTAATTCATCCGGCGCCATTATTAGCATGTATCTGTTAGCAGCAAGTTTGTTTTTCTTATTTAGAAACTATTTCGGCAGTCTGAAATCGGGGTCACGAGAAACATTTTGCGTAATTCATGTTGTTATGGGATTAAACTTACAGATTTTTATCGTTCCGTTTTGCTCTGGTTTGCAATTAATTCTCGTATACAGC